CTAATTTTTGGCTTTTTTACTCCCAGAAATAGAAGTCCATAAAGAGAAATTTTCATATGGACGAATGGTCATGAATCTTTTACTGTGAAACAGTGACCATCTAATGGAGACACAATGTTGACAAGAGAGAGAGATTTGAATCTCAATCAAATAAAAGAACATATCTATGGATAAGATGGACGTGCAACTGGTCTAACACTTTTGCCAACATATTTGGGCCAACAAAAAGGCAGTCCAATGGGCTATTTACATCAAACAGCAATATCTTAACCATAGAAAGCAAAGGACGTGTCTAACCGAGAAAGCAATTAAGCAAAGATCTTAAAATTGACTCTTTTTTTTACCCTAAGAAGCGAAAGGTTAAGACAGGCATAGTTAAACAAGAATGAGAAAAAGAATATTGAGAGATCAACACAATAAAGAAATATGTAAATTCTCCGCATTCAAGCAAGAAAATGATTTGGAGTTATAAGCCAGTATTCGTTCATGAAGATAAGAATTGTAGGTTTCAATGCAATCATTCCCCGTCCCCCGGCCGGATTGGTTCCAATGGTAATTTATAATGAGGCAAAGTAGTTTTCTGGTTCAAAGCAGACACATAGAATAGTCATATGTATACAATCTAAAATCTCTTCTATCATATAAAAACAAACTTTGGTGAACAGAACAAAGTTGGATTATAGTGATCCTCGATTACAATTGATGATGGTGGATTTGGCCCTCCAATTACATTATGACACCTGGCACCTCATGCCAATTAAGTGCAGCCCCTTGACAGCTAGACAGCTCGAGCTCGCCACAGGCAGCTCGCTACAGGCAGCTCGCCACAGGCAACTCACCCTCATGTAGCCTGGCACCTCAGAACAAATAGGTGACACCCGGGACCACTTTGGCAACAACTTGCCTTTGCTAAGTTGATGGTGTCCCACCAGGCGTGACCTGGCCTTGGCACGAGCTGGCAGCCTGGCCTTGGCGCGACCTGGCCCTGGCACGAGCTGGTAGCCTGGCCCTGGCGCGACCTGACCCTGGCATGAGCTGGCAGCTTGGCCCTGGCGCGAGCTGGCAGCTTGGCCCNAGCTGGCAGCTTGGCCCTGGCGCGACCTGGCCCTGGCATGAGCTGGCAGCCTGGCCCTGGCGCGACTTGGCCCTGGCACAAGCTGGCAACCTGGCCCTGGCATGAGTTAGCGGCCTGGCCCAGGCGCGACCTGGCGGCCTGGCCCAGGCACCGACCTGGCGGCCTGACACAGGCGCCAACCTGACAACCTCGAGGAACACACCACCGTACCCCACATTTTACGGGATTGTGACTTGTAACAGCTATATTAGCTCACCCACTCCCCAAGTCAGGCGGAAATGAGCAACCTTACCAGTTGGTGGCTTTATGCCCACCTAACACGAAAGCAGGTCCCATCACAACAGGAATCCAAGAACTACTCCACCTAACCCACGAGGACTCCAGTATATAAAGACCTCACCCCACAAGGGCAAAGGTATGCGAAAAAGGATGGGTAACCTCTGCTCTCTAGCTCTCTCATTCTCTAATATCATTCTCAGCTCGCTACTAAGTGCTGACTTAGCCATCAGAGTGACCTCGCCGGGTAAACACCCCCGGGTTCTCTGATCCAGTTTGTGCAGGTCCCTCAGTTCCTGCCGTCTATAGAGATGAGCAGATCATCTCCAACAGGAAGTAGTCGGTTCAGTTCCCGTCGCTGCTGGTAGCCAGATCACCTCTTGCAGGGAGTAGCCGGGTTGCACTACGCTAGGGAGCTCCACTTCAGCCCCTAAGTCATAGGCCACTTGGGAGCAGACGAGTTGACGAGGTACTTAGCCAAAAAGTGATACGTGACCGGAACCGGTTACATCATTTAGCGTCGTCTGTGGGAAACGCTACAAAAGCTAAGTTCTCATCTTACAAAATCTTATCTTACAAAAAGCTAAGTCCTCTTCTCCCAGAAAGCCAAGTCCTCACCTTTTTAGAAATTGAAGCTCTCGCTTCATAGCCCTAAGGCGCCCACCTGACGGACTGGCGCGGCCTGGCGGCCTGACAGCCTGACACATGCGCCAGCCTGGCACGACCTGGCACGAGCGCCAACCTGACGGCCTAGCGCAGGCGCGAACTGACGGACTGATAAAAGACTTCCTCACCCCCAAAAGACCAAAGGCCAAGCTAACAATTGACCTCGACACCTGCATAAGACTCCGTCGCCTCTACGGCATGGGCAAAGTTCAAGAGCGAACTATGAGTCGCACCCAAAGCCTAAGGGTTGTACTACTGCATAAGACCCATTCGCCTCTTCGACATGGGCAAAGTTCAGGAGTGGACTACGAGTCGCTCCCCAAAGCCTAAGGGCCACACTGCTGCTTAAGACCCAGTCGCCTCTACGGCATGGGCAAAGTTCAGGAGTGGACTACGAGTTGCTCCCCGAAGCCTAAGGGCCACACTGCTACTTAAGACCCAGTCGCCTCTACGGCATGGGCAACACTGCTGCTTAAGACCCAGTCGCCTCATCGGCATGGGCAAAGTCAAGGAGAGTGGACTACAAGTAGCTCCCAGAATCTAAGGGCTAAAGTACCGAACTGGCAAAGACCTCGGCGCCTCACGGGCAGCTCGCTTCCAAGCAGCTCCCAGAGCCTAAGAAACTGAATCAGCGCCTATGAGCTCGTTGAATTACGGGCCAAAAGGAGAAATCTACTCCCTTCGCCGAGTTACTTTCAACTCGGGAGTCGGGGGCAAATGATGAGGGCGGATTTGGCCCTCCAATGACATTATGACACTTGGCACCTCATGCCAACTAAGTGCAGCCCCTTGACAGTTAGACAGCTCGAGCTCGCCACAGGCAGTTCGTTGCAGGTAGCTCGCTACAGGCAGCTCGCCACAAGCAACTCACCCTCATGTAGCCTGGCACCTTAGAACAACTAGGTGACACGCAGGACCACTTTGGCAACAACTTGCCTTTGCTAAGTTGATGGTGTCCCACCAGGCGCGACCTGACCCTGGCACGAGCTGGCAGCCTAGCCCTGGCACGAGCTGGCAGTCTGGCCCTGGCACGAGCTGGCAGTCTAGCCCTGGCACAACTTGGCCTTGGCACGAGCTGGCAGACTGGCCCTGGCACGAGCTAGCAGTATGGCCCTGGCACGAGCTAGCGGACTGGCCCAAGCATGACCTGGCGGCCTGGCCCAGGCACCGACCTGGCGGCCTGTGTCGCATTTTACGGGATTGTGACTTGTAACAGCTATATTAGCTCACCCCACCTAACACGAAAGCAGGTCCCATCACAGCGGGAATCCAGGAACTGCTCCACCTAACCCACGAGGACTCTAGTATATAAAGACCTCACCCCCCAGGGGCAAAGGTATGCGAAAAAGGATGGATAACCTCTGCTCTCTAGCTCTTTCATTCTCAGCTCGCTACTAAGTGATGACTTAGCCATCGGAGTGACCTCGCCAGGTAAACACCCCCGGGTTCTCTGATCCAGTTCGTGCAGGTCCCTCAGTTCCCGCCGTCTATAGAGATGAGCAGATCATCTCCAGCAGGAAGTAGCGGGTTCAGTTCCCGTCACTTCACCTCCTGTAGGGAGCAGCCGGTTGCACTACGCTAGGGAGCTCCACTTCAGCCCCTGAGTCACAGGCCACTTGGGAACGACGAGATGACGAGGTACTTAGCCAAAAAGTGATACGTGACCGGAACCGGTTACATCAACAATCATCTGATATAAACCATCCATGTGATAGATTATAGGCCTTACACTTATCAAAGTAGTGAATTGAAACGTTTTTTTATTAGTTTGATTTTTTCCCTTTTAAGATTTACATTTGTCTTCTTTATATCAGATGTCATTTTTCTTGCCCTCTTTTTCCTGTTTCGGTTCCTTTATGATCTTTCATCAATGCAGAAAAGGAAAAGCAAGGAGGGGAAAATCAACGCCAGAAACAGAAATGCATTTTGTCCAATATAGACGGCTAAAAAGTAAAATAAACAAAGAAAAGCGATCGAATATCGCTTTATGTAGAAAACAAATAGATACTTTACTCCAATTAAGAGAGAATTTAAGATCTAAAACGAAAAAGCAAAGAATATGAGTGAAATATAAGGAACCTTTGAGAGAGAAAAAACCCTAAGAAGGAGTAGTAGGAGAAGCTTCAGAACCTCCACTTTCGAGCCTGGGAAGTAACGAACTATAGTGTAGAGCATTATATAAGATGCTGAAGCCATAGAGTGAGAGAACCTAACCAATTGTGTGAATCCCGCCTGACGGACTTTGAAGTCCAAAGACTTAACGAAGATGAAGAAGGGGAGAGCAGCGAGCTTTGCCTTTTGCCTTTTTGTTGCTCTGGAGATGTCCGGTTTCTCAATCTCAAGCGCCGAAGAAGCTCTCCCGCCAAAACTGAAGGTAAAACGACTAACGAGAATTGAGCCCGGAATAAAATATACGTGGCGACTGGCGATAAACGCTTTTGTTCAGGTTCTACTGTTCTTGCTCCGTTTGTTTGCGGTGCAAATCTGAACCGACTATACGTGGCGATAAACGCTTTTGGTCTAGTTTTGGATCTAAAATAATTTGGTTTGGTGCGAGAATTCCTCGTCCAAACTGCCAATCGTATTAAATCAAATTATTAATAATATATTTATTAATGTATATACATAAATTGCGGGGCCATTTAAGTTGATGGTTTAGTGATGATATAGCAGGAAAATTGCAATTACACGGTGGCAATCGAGACGACATGCGCAAAGGGTGCGGAGACATCAAACGTGGTGAGCCTAAGATTTGGGGACATCCAATCCAACGACGTCCTGGTCCGCCATCTGAACTCGAAGCACGTGAGAAGGGTGGACCCACTGTATCCGGCGGTCCTGGACGAAGTACCCAGAAAACCATTCGAAGCGTGCACGGTAGACGAGTTCCGAGTAACGGGCCCCTGCGTCCAGTCACCGATTTGCTATCTATATCTCAAGTCTGTTGGGGGCGACAGTTGGCGACCAGGTCTTGCACAAGTCCGTGTGTCATCGGCTACACCATCACATCTCTCCTCAGATTATTTCTACTTCCGTCGGTACCTCCCTAAGCACGTGTGGCATGGATTTGACACGTGCGACAAAGAAGTTACCCCCTTTGGGATCAAATATCATAGGAAGGTGTTTGGTGTTGGTGATAAGAAGCACGCTTGACTTCACACTTAACAGTTTCTTATACTTTCTTTATGATATTGATATGTAATTAATTACTCTCTTTATCATTCCGATAAATTTTGGCAACTTCTATGATGCCGGAAATATATCATACCAATCAGATCACGCAAATTTTTGAATTTTGATTGATTGATTATCAGTTTTTCTTATTATGTATGATACTTTTTTTCGGTATCCTAATTGGTTCATATTTTTTTGGGAAAATGACCAATCAAGCTAGATCAGAATTTTATAGTCCCAAAGTACAAGAAAAATGCATCTAATCGTGAATTAATGTCATATTTACGGATAAGATGTGGTTTATAAGGAGAGAGGGTAATAGGGGGCTGGAACTCAGAATTCTGCATATGTATCCGTATTTGTCCATATTTTTTTTAGGTCGTCACTCATCAGATTGAGGCCAACCCGGTGGACTTGGGTTGGCCTTCTAGCGTCGTGGGCCGTGTCTCAGACTCTCAGCTATGGGTGTTAATGGGCCTATTTTGGATTGGGCTGGATTGAATTAATATTTGGTTTGTTGATATTTAATGAATAAGTTTGGGTTGGAATCAATCTAAATTAAAATCAATTTTTAAAGTATTGAACGATTCGGACAGATCAAAATGATCTAAATATTCATTGGATTGGATTAGACCTGATAATCTGTAATGAATTCATATTGGATCAGATGGGATTGGACCAGACCAAATACGGTCGAATTAACACCCCTAAGTCAGCTAGCTTCACTGCTGCGATGCGACATTGTATATATAGAGAGAGAGAGGAAAAAAAACAGAAGTGTTGTACAATCTGCATCACTGTATAGTCTGTATTCCGCCTCACCAGCCATGAGCCACCGGCCTCCTCTCCGCCGCCGCATCCCACCCTTTTTTTAATTTCATCCTCGTTCGTTGCACCAACCTACTTCTATACTGATTTTTTTCCTTTCTCCATGGTAGAGAGGCGTAATGTCCAAGAACTTGATTTAGACGATATGAGCATATTCTCTGAAACTCTCAATATTTTTTTCTTCTGAAACCAATCTCTGTATGGGGTCTCTCTGAAGTTGCAAAGGGATCGAAAACATGGAGTGATGAAAAGCTAGTTACAGAAGGAGAGAATAGGTTGAAGGCAGAAAGCAGACGAAGATAAGAACTATCATATATACGAGAGAGAGAGAGAGAGAGAGAGAGAGAGGGTGGGGAAAGGAGTTAAAAAAGAACGAGAGAGTATTGTGATAATGTGATTCAGAGGGTTTTTTTTGTTTAACTGGTAAAGTGTGATTCGGAGATCGATTTCATCCAACTTCAACATCTCCGACTATCATCACTTTATTTACCGGCCGGCGGCCGGCTCGAGTTGCAGTTACAGAAAATAAAATGGAAGGAGAAGATAAAGCATACGTGAGTGGAATTGATTGGAGTGTAATATCTTGTATAATACGACGGCGGGAAGATAAAGCATTTTGGATTTAAAACAAACAAACAAACGGCTAGTGTTGGTATTTTTCGGTCGCGGCGAGCTCATTCTAGGCATTGAACATCACTCATCAGGTGCCAAAAGCCAGAATTCCCAAAAGCCCAAAACCATTTCAATCACATAACTGTTCCCCTCAATCTCAAATCTATCGACCACCTTTAGCTAGGACCCTTTCCCACATTGTTACAGCGGATCCGAAGGAACGCGAGATCGATATTGGACGGTTCAAGATGCCCACATGCCCTTATGTCTGGTCACGATCATCTTAGGTGGGTCCCCTCCTCCCTTTCCTCTCTCTCTGGTTAGAATTTAGAAATAGATTTTCAGCTACGACAAAAGCGGCAGCATCCCAAGGGCATCAGACACGTCAGTCATTGACTCGGTCCCAAATCTACACCCGGCTTAGATCCATGCAAGGCCGAAAGCCTATTGTTTGCTTCTATCAAGCAAAGCAGGGAAGTTCAGAGTGTAGACTGGTGAGAAAGAGGATAGTCTGCTTCTGGCTTCTGCTAGAGATAGAGAG